GACTGTTTAAAAGCATGATGTCTAATTTAATGCCAGTCAAAGAATCATTAATTCTTAAGTAGTCACCTGACTGTTTAAAAGCATGATGTCTAATTTAATGCCAGTCAAACAATCATTAATTTTTCACTAGTCACCTATCTATTTATTTATACTGTTTAAAAGCATGATGTCTAATTTAATAACATTCAAAGAATCATTAATTTTTAACTAGTCACCTGACTGTTTATACTGCTTAAAAACATGATGTCTAATTTAATGCCAGTCAAAGAATCATTAATTTTTCACTAGTCACCTATCTATCTATTTATACTGTTTAAAAGCATGATGTCTAATTTAATGCTAGTCAAAGAATCATTAATTTTTCACTAGTCACCTATCTATCTATTTATACTGTTTAAAAACATGATGTCTAATTTAATGCCAGTCAAAGAATCATTAATTCTTAAGTAGTCACCCAACTATTTATATTATTTTAGGCCAGTAAAAAAATATTTACTTCTTCACTAATCACCAAACTGTTTACACTGTTTAGAAATATGATGTCTACTTTAAGGCCAGCAAAAAAATCTTTAATTCCTCACTAATCACCGAACTGTTTATGCTGCTTTATTCTGTTAAAAGCACGGGGAACTTTTGTTTCTTGCAAAATGAATGTGCACTGTACAATGATTAAAACTGAAGACATTTCAGTTTTAGTATTACCTGGATTCTATCACTGTTTAATATATAACCTTTGAACCTTACATTTTGCATGAGGCCAGTGCCTTTCACTATTTGTTTTACATTCACACTCAAACATGGACCATTAAAAATAATTTTAATGATTACACACGTAAAAAGGAATGTATTCTTTCCTTCTGAACAGTTCAGTTTCTTTTAGGTTCCTTACAGTTTTATCATCAAAATTACTTATAACATTGCTAATGACAGTAGATTTTCTGTATGTTCATGAGTGATATGTTTCTTTATCTTTGCATGTTGAGTTTTAGAGGTAAAGGGATATTGAAAATATTTAAAAAGTATAAGAGGCTTTTATAGAGAAAGACTATTAGGACAATCTGAGAGTATTATTTTAGAGTCAAGAATAAATTTTACACAGATATTTATGTTTATATAATACATCTTTAAATGCAGGTCTCTATGCTGCTTATGTAAAGTTGCTTTAAATGTGGATTTTTGTGTGTAAATAAAAGTTTTTTAAATTTAAATGTGCAAATCCCTTTGTTGTTTAAATTGCATAGACTACAATAAAGATCACAATCCTGAAGCTTTTCTTTTGATTATTAGGATTTTAAAGTCTTACTTTCCAGGATTCTAGATATTTATTTACACTCTATTTTGTCATAATCAAAAGTAATTAAAGTAATAACTTATATTATTAAAAAGTAATGTGGACAAAGAAGATTAAGAAAAATTTAACAATTTTCACAAATATTTTTATGAAACTTACCTTATGAACATTTGAATACCTTTAGTATCTGCTTCAATCATCATCCAGCAAGAAGGGTAGTTTAGTATCCAAACGTCAGTACAGGCAGCTTGCTATGAGCTTTTAGTGAAATGTAATTGGGAAAATAAACGGTAAAGTATAGGGTTTAGAGAGCCCCTCTTAACATACCGGAACCTGCTATTGCAGTACTTATTTTATAATGCAGAGACAAACGTTTACCAAACTTCATATGTCACTGGAAATACATTTTTCCAATTATGTTTTTGTTGTGTAATAAACTAGTACTCATTGTGTTTTTGTTACGTAATACATTAGTACTCATCAATTATATTTTATTGTGTATTACACTAGTACTCATCAATTATGTTTTTGTTACGTAATACATTAGTATTCATCAATTATGTTTTTGTATGTAATACACTAGTACTCATCGAGTTTTTGCTACGTAATACATTAGTACTCAACAATTACTTTTGTTATGTAATACACTAGAACTCATCAATTATGTTTTTGTTATGTAATACACTAGTACTAATGAATTATGTTTTTGTTGTGTAATACACTAGTACTCATCTTGTATTTGTTACGTAATACATTAGTATTCATCGGTTATGTTTTTGTTGTGTATTACACTAGTACTCATCAATTATTTTTATTGTGTATTACACCAGTACTCAGAAATTATGTTTTGTTGTGCATCACATTAAAACTCATCCATTACTTTTTGTTATGTAATACACTAGTACTCATCAATTATGTTTTTATTTTGTAATACACTAGTACTCATCGTGTTTTTCTTACGTAATACTTTAGTACTCATTAATTATGTTTTGTTGTGTATTGCACTAGTACTCATCAGTT